TAATATGTAATATAATATATAATATATAATATATAATATATAATATATAATATATAATATATAATATATAATATATAATATATATATATATATATATATATATATATATATATATATATATATATATATATATATATAAACATAATCATAACAAATATATATAGGGGAGAGTTGCCGAAATTGGAACAGCGCCTTAATTGGAACACTTGCATTTATTTAAAAAAAAAATGAATTATGGCTATATTTTGCATTTTTTTAGTAAAACGCATTATTTACTACTTTTTGATTTGCTCAAAAAATGCGTTTGCACCATTGATTTTTGCGTCATTTTTTTGCGTCAAGTTTTTTTGCGTCATTTTTTTCTGTGATCTATTTTTGTGTCCACACTATATTGATTGCGCTGGGTAAACTATGGTGCTACAGGTTTTACCGTTTTTTGTGTTTAATTCGATAGGATTTAAAAAGCAAAATAAATATATAATCTTATCCTATAAGTTGCTGCAAGCATGTTATTGTAGTGATGAAACAAAATAGTCGAAAGTTTCCTTAATTGGAACATTGAAGTTTTCTTTACCTAATCAGTAATAAAATCAAAGGGTTGTAAAAATAGTTCGAGTGCAATTTAAGCAACAACCATAAACTTTAAAAATAATACTTTATTAAGTGATTTTTAATCAATAAACTAAGAGAGCGTCATAATAGTTGAAGCTATACAATTTTTTGTTTGTAGACTTTAAATTTGTTAGGGTAATACTAATCCTATAATAAGTTTTGAATTAACTGTTTAAATTTTCACTGTAAAGATGAAAATTTTTTACAAATTTTCTTGATATTACAAGGTTTTTTCTTTTTTTTTAAATAACCTGTTTTGATTAAGGAACCAAAGTGTTCTAATTTAGGGAACCAGTTGCCTTGATTGGAACAAAATGGTAACTTTGCAAAAACAATAACAGTGCAATCAATTAAGTCAAATTGTGGTTAAAAGTATAGTAGGGATGTCTGTTTGTATTTATCAAATCATAAATGTTTTCATAGCTAAGCCATCTTTGGGTAATAAATATTTATTCCTTAAGTGTTCCAATTAAGGCAACTTTCCCCTATACATACATACATACTTATATATATATATATATATATATATATATATATATATATATATATATATATATATATATATATATTATGTATATATACATATATATGTATATATATACTTAATTTGGTATAAATATAGATATGATATTATAATTAGGATGATAGTATAAATAATTTCTCACCTGTAATGAACCAGCAGCATATAGCCGAAATACAATTGACAGTTGTTGTACTGGTGAAATGTATTTATACCATATAAAAATAATGATTCAGTAGTAATTCACTCATGAAATGAGTAAATTTAGAAAAATTTATATATCTTTTTACCACATATTTACAAAATGACAATGGTGATTGGTTTTTTGATTTCAAGTTTGCTTTCAAGGCTGGTTTTATCGAACTTCAAAAATCAAATCAAATCAAATATATTTCAAAATAAGTTATAACATTTCAAGGAGATTTACATTACTTCAAGTACTAATATAAAGTAAAAAAAAAAACTTGAAATCTGATTTTTCAAGAACGAATTCAGTTCAAGTTTGTTTCTTGCATTACACTTTAGTCAGACTGTAGATTTGAAGTTTAACTTGAAATTTCAAGTTCGCTTCTTGCATTCAAAAAAAGGTTTTGCTTTCTCAATTTGGCTTTTCAAGTCTAACTTAAAAACGGCTGATTTTCAAATATAGCTTGAGTTCGCTCTTTGCATTTGGTTAAGTCAAATTTTAGACTGGAAGTATGACTTCAAATTTCAAGTTCGTTTCTTGCATTCTACCCTAACTCATTAGATAACTCATCTGAGTGAATACAATTATCCATCAGTACTAAGAAATCTTTAAATGAGGCTTCATTATTAGGAATTAGTTTAGATCTTTAACATTTACTACCCAGTAAGCACAAGACGCATTTTAGACACTTATAGACGTCTAAAACTAGTCTAGGTAAAGACACACTTTTATAGACGTTTTGAAGACATTTTCTAGACATCTTTAATAAATGCGCTTTTAAAATGACGTTTAAAATGCGTCTTTTTAAAGTTTAAAAAGACGTTTAAAAGACACATAATAAATAGTCTAAAAGACGCATTAAAAGACGTCTAGATCAAGGCTAAAAGACGTCTTTTCTGTGACCTGTTTATAAATATGTCATTATGACTTCTTTTTGACGGCTTTGTCATTACGCGTTAAGAAGATGCATATTCAAAGTAAAAACATAGTTTTTATTATTTTCAATAATTTGTTCAAGTTTTAAGTGTAAATTACTTTAAATTAAATTACTTTTTTACACAATTGCTAAAATTGTTGTCACAGGAATCGCTAAAATAATTGCTATAATATTAATATATCTTTTTTTTATTAATAATTATTTTGCTTTTTTAATAGATAGTTGACTGATCATGATAATAAGTGAAAATGGCAAGAATAATATATAAGTTAAATATCAGTATTTTTAGTTTTTATACACCCACAAGCCATATAATACGTCAAGTATGCGCTCAAAAATTAGCTATCAATATTTAAGTTAAATTTTATTGCAACTAAAAATATGTTATAAATGTTTTAAACACTGTTTTGATATATATACTTGTTATTGTTTTTTATGATTTTCATCTTTGATGCATCAACCGTTGGTGGTGATTGCAGCAATATTATATTGACTGCTGGTTCATATGTATTTTGGTATAAACGAAATTAAAACAATATATGATATTATAAATACAATGAATATATACCACATACTACGCAAAAGTGTTACGTCATGTACTTAAATTTAACTTAAAAAAAACGTCTAAAATACGTCTAAAACGCGTTTTTATAAAGACGTCTTCATTTAGACGTCTTTTAGCCTTATGATCTAGACGTCTACAAGTGCGCCTTTTAGACCTCCTTAAAGACATCTTTAAAACGTCTTTTAAACGTCTTTGTGCTTATTGGGTAAGCACAAGAAACAAAACAGTTTTTGATATCAATAAATTCTATTTTATGGTTAGTCAGCATAATAAATAACCACACTTTAAAACGGTTTAAATTTTAAACTTTTAAAGCAACTCTAAGTTCATATAAAATTATGAAAAATATGACAACAATACTACCATCATCCTACCATATAGGCGAAACGTAAACTTCTTAAAATGTCGAACAGAAAATTAGCACAAAAATCGGTAAACGTGAATTTCAGCATACTCACTATGACGCAAATAAAATTTATCTTAAGCTGGATGAATTAAAAATATAAGCAATAATTAATTTTTCAAGACTTACATAATTTCTAGAAAATTGTAGAATGCTTTTTTTTTAATAAATATCTAATTCAACTATATATTAATGCTATGTTAAAGATAGTTTACGTATTTCAAATAATAAACATAAATATTACTTATGTTTAAATATAATATTGTATTTATTAAATTTACAATTTAGCTAGTTCAAATAAATTATAATTGACATATCAAAATAAAAAGATATGAGGTCGTAACGAAAGTCAAACAAAATTTCTCTTTTTTAGATTACTTTTTAAGTTACTTTTAGCACGTGGATTACTTGTTACAACAAAATACACATATTTTTTTCAATGTAATTTTCTAACGAATGGAGTTGATTCTGTTAATAACAGAATTGTGTTAATAACGAATTCTGTTAATAACGAATTCTGTTAATAACGAATTGATTGGTTGAATTGATGGAGTTGATTCTGTTAATAACGAATTGATTGGTTGAATTGATGGAGTTGATTCTGTTAATAACAGTCAGAGAAAAAAAATTATCCTCTATCAATTATTTTCTATCAATAACAAAACTTTTACAAATATAAAATTTTATTAGTAACTAGAGATTACAAAAAAAATTTGGTAAAGACAAAGCTTATCCAACGTTTATCCGACGTTCAGCTAAAACGAAATACTAAAGTTTTTAAGCAAAAGCTAAAAAAAGGACAAATTACTTCTTTTCATTCTTTTACATTGAAAAGAAGTAACTTAAAACTTAACAATAACAAGTTAGTGTTCATTAATGCTGCTAATAATGTTCATTAATGCTGCTATTTTAGGTGATTTTGAAGAGTAAAATATTATATAAAAAAAATTTCTATTTTAGATGGACAATTTCAACGGCAATTTTAAGCTGACCGAAACAAAAATCTAAAAAAGTCTTCTTAACAAATAAATTATAATTTTTACTAAAAGTTAATAAAAATTATCAACAGCATAAACTTTTAAATCTTTAACTAATGACAATCGTGATTATTTTTTAAATTATAAAATAAACGAGACAATATGAATAAATATACATGGGAAAGAAAACTGATAATGATCTAACTTATAATAATGTGGTTTTCAAGGCTATACTAACCAATGAGGTGTATTTACCTTGTGATTCAGTGCTCTTACAACAGCGTTATGGTTTGAAATCAAAACTCATGCTTAAGAGAATGCATAAAAAGTCAGAAACAATCTTATAGCAGAAAAAATTTTTAATATAAAGGACATGAGAGAGAGACACAAAAATGGTTTTAATATTACATTTTAATTTACAGTTAAAACATTTATTTATGTTTTACAATGGCTTAAAGTTGTTTTTACTTTAATTTTTTATACAGTTTTATTTAAATACTGGATACTAGATTGATTTATACCTAACGGAGATGTATTTTCGGAATTAGAAAAAAATAAAAAATTGAATTGCTATGGTCTAAAATGTGTTATTGAAATTGACTCGCTATTGAGCTTCCTTGAATATGGTTGTTATCAAAACTATTGTTTTTTTCTTTTTATTTTTTTATTTGTTAGAAAAATGAAAACTTTATGTTACACTATTTTTAAAAATACACTTACTATGACACTTAAAAATTTAAAGTGCACTTTTTTATGTTTATTTTTCTAGAGAAAGTTCTATTTTTATTTTATTTAACAATAAGGAAGTTAAAAAAAATTAAGTTTCAGTTAATCGCAAAAACAATAATCTCGCGTGCAATATTTGCTGAAGTTAGCAAAGTAGCCGACGAAGTATATAGTAACTTTAAAGTATATACACCTAAATCACTGCGTGAAAAACCAGAAGCAACTCCTGTTAATGTTTTTATCAATAGAAAATGAAAATTAAAAACTTTAAATACTCAAAATCAAATTATGAAAACATTGACGAAGATAAGAAGCTTAATGAGTCAACGAATAAAAAAATGGACATTGATGAAATAATGAGACAAATCGGAGAATTCGGACGAAGCCAGTTTCTTTCTTTAGTTATATTATGTTTAATAATGATTCCTGCTTCATATCAAACTTATCTCATTACGTTTGTTGGAATAAATCCTCCGTGGACCTGCAACCTTGGAAGCGTTGAATGCAACAAAACTGGAGTCTTTTTTGCAAACCATGAGTTTTATAACAAAAGATGCTCCATGAAAAGAGAATCTTGGAAATTTATAAAAAAAAAACAGTTTTCTATAGTTACAGAGGTAGAATTCTTTTGACTAATTTTTATTATTTGTTTTTAAATTTTATTCTATACTAAAAGTAAAACAAATATAAAAAAATATTTTAAATTTTAATGTCATATTAATTTATAATTAAATTAAAAATACATTTTTAATATGTCCATATTCAAAATGAAACAAATATTTAAGTTTTGTCTACAAAATTTACTTGGGATATAAATCTAATGTTACATAACAACGCGATGTAGGCCCTTGTGTAGATTATTTTAACATTTTTTTGTTTTTATAATTTATACAATGTGTACCCAAGTACACAAACACATATGCACACACATACGCGGTCAAATTTTAATATGGTCCTTACAGTAAAAGATTAGATTACCTTGACGTAATCACTATATATTTAAAAAAAATTAATTGACTATTTCTGCTTTATAGTGGGATTTAGTTTGCGAAAAGCTAGCTGCTACTTATACGGTTTTTACTGTTATTCAAGTTGGCGACATTATTGGTTCAATTGCTTTTGGCGTTGCATCAGACAAGTAAGCTAAAGATTTGTTTTAAAATTTACATACGTGTATTATATCTTTTCGAAATATGATACGCCATTTTATTGCGAAGACCACCTGCGTCTGAGATTTATTGACTCATTTAAGCTACACGTTCTTTGTTGTTTTTCGTAAATAAATCGTTATTGTTATCATAAGGATTAAAAAAAAAATACGCATGGTTTTCTATAAAAATTAGCTCTTTTATTTCTAAATCTAATGTTTCAAATATTAAATTTCTGTTCCAAAAAAATAGACCGCCAAAATGACATCTTAATAGAATGAAAAAATTTATTTCCAACGTATACAAAAAATCTCCTTAAGAAAAAAAGTAAACAAACCAATTTTATATTTTTCCATGTGTACAAATCACTTTTTCTTTCTCTGCATATTTACTTTTCAAGCGGGAAAAAAAAAACACCCTGAAAACCATAATCCTGAGCTATTTAGTTTCTAGCATAAGCTTTGTTGTTGCTGTGCATTCATGTAAATTGTTAGTTAAAAATTAGATCCGAGGAACATAAACAAAAATTAAGAGGAGCTTTAACTAAAATACCTTTTTACTTTTATTTTTGAAGTACATGCTCGTAAACATCTACACTGTAAAAGTATAGTATTTAGCACTTGTTAGGTTTTCTTACAACTGCGTTGTTTTTTGTTCTAAGTTATAAACTTTTTCAGAGGCGATTCTAGAAATAAAATTCTTGAAAAAAAAGCACGCGAAACTAAAAATATGAAATTTGTCATATGCCGACTAGCCGACTATATTCCTTAAAATCCGGCAAAATGCTCTTACACTCTTTAGAACAGATAGATCATAATGTATTTAATCTATCTGTTCTAACCTAGTTATCTATAATAAAGACAAAAACAAACTAACAACTTTTAGATGACTCTTCAAAAGGGTTTTTTTCACGCTTAAAATACTTTAAAACAGACGTCATACGTTAACTGCATTAGCGTGTTTTTTGTCTTGTAAGTATAATTGTATTTTTACATTCCATAAAAAGTAATACAAAATGCCATTAAATGTCATGTTTAAATTTGAAGTATGGCAAACAAACTTTAAATACTTGCCATTTTTATAAAGAATTAAAATCATGCTTTTCAATCTTTTTTATTAAATTTATAGTTCTATATTATTTACAATAACTGAAATCACTTGATTAATTACCCTTTTAATTTAAATAAGTTAACCTATTTTTGCAAATACAATTTATTAAACAATGCCTGTTAGGTATTTATTTATCTAATATTTTCTGCAATAATAGATCGTATCACATGTCAATGAAAAATACTCAAACATTTGAAATAAGCACAACTGGTTTTAAATAGGGAATTTAAAAAATTCTTTATCCTAAAAACCAATATAAATAGGATGCCAAATGTCCCTAGTTTGCCTGTGCAATGGTTAAAATGGTTTTAAAAAGTTGCTGAGTTAACATCAAATCATTCCATCTGACAGATTTTTATAAGAGAAAAAACAAATTTTTTCTCCAAAAAAATCATACTTCCTTAAAACAATCTTTAATTTTATTTCACGAAAATTGTTATCAAAATGTTTTATAAAATCTTTTAAATTATCCATTATTATGTTATTAAAATTGTTCAGCAAAATAATAAATAACGACCCCTTAATCAAAAATAATAAATAACGACCTACTACTCAAAACTAACAATCGAATTAAATATGAAGTAATTTTGAAAAAAGTTCAAATCTTGTAAAATAATGACGAAGTAAAAGAAATACTTATGGAGTAATATTTCCTTATAAGTAAATAGTAATCCGTAAATATTTACTATCTAAAGCTTTAGAGTCATTAACTATAACGCGTTAAAAAAATTTGAAAAATATCATAAATTTTTTTTTTTATTTTAAACTTGATTATACTGATTGGCTCGAATCGAATTTAACGTTTTTGATTTAAAACATATAACTTCAGCTATTTTTATACCTAATGTAGTTAAAAGTGGTTTGGTTACAAAAATAAGCTTGACAGATTAAGTTAGTTCGTTTGTAATTAATAATGACGATATTCCATAAATGACGATATTCCATAAATGACGATATTCCATAAAGCATAAAAATTGTAATTTATTACTATTTTTATGCTTTATTTCTATTTTTATATAATTTTATTTTTGTGTCGTAATGTTTTGTGTTTTGAAATATTTAAAAAAAAATATAAAAAAAACATGGGCTAATAAATAAATAAGTATATTATGTTATTTTAAAATTAGAGGGATTTTTACAATAAAGTATGTTAGAGTCAACATATTTAATCTTTTAACTAATTTTTAATTAAAAAAAGAACAAAAAAAATAATAATTTAAAAAGCTAAATTGATCAAGTCATAAGTTTAAGTAAAACATAATCATTTAGCTTTATTTTACAACACTCAATATTATCTTGTATAGAAGATATTATTGAGTGTTGTAAAATAAAGCCAAATGATTATGATGAATATAGGCATAGACTATGCGTATATTCATCGCTTCTTCATAAACTCCTTATATCAATTCTCACAAATGTAGATACATTACATTTTTCTTTACTAAATCAAAAATTTATTTGCTCTTTTTTTTTTATCTTTTTTCTTACGGAAAATATTTTGTACCAAGAAAGAATAGAATACTTACTGACATAACAGAAAAGAAGTTAGTTATTATGAAAAAAATTAAGGAGTATAAAAGATCCGTTGTAAGTAAGAATACTAACAGCGGATACTTTCTAATTTTTTTCTAACTTCTTTTCTGGTATATCAGTAAGTGTTCTAGTCTTTCCTCGCTATCTACCCATTTTTGCCGCAGCAGTGCAATAGTTTTTTGGAAAACTATTTTTAGAGTCACAGCTGTTGATATTCGTTGGGCAGACGTTAATAGAGTCTGTACTTCATATTTGATAATAAAGTCAGGGCTACATTTATCTTTACATTAGTAGTGGGAGCTGATAAATCTGACGTAATCAAACGGGAGATATAATATTACTTCTAACATTCAAATATAATGTTATTATTTATTTTAAGCCCTATTTCAGCCATGAAATAAAGTGACGCATTAAACCTCTTTTATTTTTTTGCGGAAAGAATATTAGGAGCTACGTTTAATGTTGAGTCGCCGGTTTTATTTAAATTGTAGAAGCCTTATATTTGTAGTTGTCCTGGTATGTTTAAACAAACACAATTAAATATAGATAGGATTGTTCTGAATTTCGTTGATAAATATATGAGCAAATGAAGATACCGAATTTTAATTTACTTATTAAACTAATATTGATTAAAATATTACCACTAATTATATTACTTTTAACATAATCTTACCACTAATTATATTACTTTTAACATAATCTTACCACTAATTATATTACTTTTAACATAATCTTACCACTAATTATATTACTTTTAACATAATCTTACCACTAATTATATTACTTTTAACATAATCTTACCACTAATTATATTACTTTTAACATAATCTTACCACTAATTATATTACTTTTAACATAATTATCAACAAAGTTAAGCATTATTGTTTATTATTATTTTTGTTTATGGTTTTAGAGAGCTCAAGATTAGATGTTAATGTAGACAATAATATAACTTGGCGTTATAATGTTCTCAGTAAACCTGGGATAGGTTAGGTTCACCGAATGACCTGTTACTCCATGTTATTGGAATATCTAGGATTAGCTTTACCACCAAAAAATGTGGTAATAATAAAATTTCTAGTGCATTATTGAACTAGTTTATTTAGCCATTATAAATATTGTAAAGTTTGCAAAAAAATATTTATCTCAAGACTTCAGATAAATTTTTATATTTTAACCTGTAAGGCTAAAACCAATTTTTTTCGGCACACGTTAAAGCAATAAAACTTTAGTTTACAGTTCAACCTTTATTTCTTAACTTAAGTGCAAATGTAACAAAGTAAGGAACCGTGAGACTTTATGCTCATATTTTGTAATGTACAACGCTTAAATAAACAACTATTAATTGTTCTTGAAGTTATGCAATTAAAAATAGATCATTATTTAAAAAAATAACTTAAGAAAAAATTTTCTAACGAGAAAACGATCTACACCTTTTCAAAATGTAATTGATAACATGAAAGTTGTAAATAAGAAACGTGAGGTTTAATTGAGAAGATGAAAGTTGTAATTGAAAAACGTAAAATGTAATTTAGAACATATAAGTTGTAAATAAGAAATTGTAAAATGTAACTAAGCACATAATAGTTGTAGTTAAGAAGTTTATTATATAGATTCTCAGAATAAAGTGCTTTGTATTTTCAATTTTGTTGCTTTAATTTATCTTGTAATTAAAGGTTGGTTTCTAATTTGGCCTTGGTGGCCGTATTGGTTGGTTTTCAATAAATAATAATATACTATCAATAAAATGAAAAAGTGATAAAAAAAAGGCATTTTTGGTTTTAGCGGTAACTAAAAAAATCCTATGGGGTCGTCTAAAAAATGTCACGCTTCAGAGTGGAGGGGAAGGGGCAGGCGATTCTGTGACAATTTGTTATAAGGGGTGTCTCCAATTTTACAACACAACCTATTTTTTAAATCTAGAGAGGACTTTCTTTTAATTAAAAGAGTATCTGACCAAACCAAAACCTTTCAAGTTGATGTGTACACTCCGTTAACGGAGTATTTACAGTCTGCTAACGGACTGTTAGAGCTGTTTGCCCAGCGCGTTGCGTCTACGGCTGTAACAGTCTATGTGCAGTGTACATATACTGCACTTTATATGGTCCAAGCGCAGAACTTTATTTAGTTGGTGCACAAAAGTGTGCAACTATAAAATAAACAACCTTTGTGCACTAACTAAAAAAAAATTAAAAAACTTCGACACCAAGAGACGATCCTTTTACTTTACTAGCCTGAAGCAGAATCCACGCGGCCACGCTAAAATTGCATGTATTTATCGGAAAAATAGATATTTAAAATTGTGATCGTGTTTAGGATAGCGGTGCTAATTTATAAAATTTTACAC